AGACAGAGTCTCACTTTGTCACCCCGGGTAGAGTGCTGTGGCATCACAGCTCACAGCAACCTCCAACTCCTGGGCTTAAGCGATTCTCTCACCTCAGCCTCCCACATAGTTGGGACTACACACACCCGACACAAGGCCCAGGTAATTTTTTTTTTTTTTCTTAAGAGATAAGGTCTTGCTCTGGCTCAGGCTGGTCTCAAACTCACGAGCTCAGGCAATCTAGCCACCTCAGCCTCCCAGAGTGATAGGATTACAGGCATGAGCCACCACACCCGGCCTTATCACTTCTGTCATCAACACAGACCGATTTCTGCTGGGGACATCTGGTAAACTTGAGCTCCCCATCACTCAGAAGCATTGCCACAAAAATATCCCACTGACACTGGTGGGTACCAATGGTATTCCACTCTGCTTTAATACTTTATGCTGCAAACAGGTTCGTGCATTATTCATGTATGACTTGTATAATTACAAGTTAAAAATTAAAGGTAAGACTTATCTAAGGGACACAGTTTGTCTCCACCTGCCCACTCTGTGCTGGAGACGCAGCAACGAGACAGGCGAGGTCCCGGCCTCAAAGGCGCAGATGCTCGACGCAGACGATACTCAAATAGACAAGCATCCACACAGCGGTCAGCGCCGCAAGAAAAACCAAGAAGAAGGTTCTTGAGAACCAGTGGTCAGTAAAAGCCATGCTGAAACCACACTTGCACCGAGGGTGAGTCAATAGAAAGGAAGCAGCCATCTTCCCCACTAAAACAACGACATCTACACCTTGGGGCCTCTAGTCGGGAACAGAGTAAGACCTGGGGTCTGGGACACTGGACAGGCAGGGAAGGGTGGTTTGGGTGGCAGTTTTTGGCTTTTGAGTAGGGTATTGAGTAATGAGATCAGAAAGGCAGGCGAGACCAACTCTACTCAAGGACGAAAGAGGGTTTCCTCCAGAAGTCTTCTCTGAGCCCCAGGGTAAGCTAAATGCTTCTTATTCTAGGGCCACCTCTTACCAAAATGCCATCTTCATTATCTGTCCCTCTCTAGACTGTAAATATATTCTTTTTATTCTTGGTGCCTAACAGTGTCTGGTGCCAAGACGACACAATAGTGTCTGTGTACCAGACATAGAATGAAGCTCTTTACACATATTGCAGGTGAGGAAATAAACTCCTAAATGTAAGTCGTTAGTGTGTGCTAGAAATGAGATTTAAATCCAGCTCAGGCTCCAGCCCAAGCTCTCTCACTCCATTGCCTCTAAAATGGAAATGGAAGTAAAGTTAACTGGTGGGGAATTTGGAGGAGGGGTCATTAAGGTCAGGTATGGTGAAGATGATTTCTTGAAAGGGGTGGAATTGAACTTGAGCCTGAAAAATATGGGAAGAAAGAGAAGGAAAAGAGGTAGAAATGCAGTCTAAGCAAAGACCCAGACTAGTATTCAATTTGATTCACAAACAATATAGAAGTCCCGTTGAAATATTTCCAACTCCCCTAAAGTCTTTCGACAGGATCAAGATCCTGGTCATCTTTGTTTGAAACCCTAGTACAGAGCCTTACACACAGAGGAGTGAATGCTATTAGCTCAGCCTGTTTGGTAGCAAGAAAAGTCACACTTACCATGTGCATGAGCTCGCACGCAAACTGAGGTGGAAAGCGCCCGCCTGCCAACCAGGCTAAACACTCTGGTAGCCAACATTCTGAAAGATAAGGTGCACCTTTGTTATGAATGAGGGTGAATACGCTTTCTCTTTGCCCCCAGCGCGTTTTGGAAGTAAATCTGATTCTTTTGTTTGCTTCTCCTCCACACAAATGATCCATTCTTTATTACTGACTGAATTCACAAAACAGCCTTGAGATTGAGGTTTTCCTTAACAGTCAGCATGTTTTTATGAAGCTTCATTATAAGCAAAGTGCCATGTACACTTCTGGCAATTCAGAGAAAACCGGCTTTTTCAAGGAAGGACCAAAAAAATTAAACAAGCCGGCTCAAAGCACGAGAAATCATTAGAGCACTATGCTGCCAAGGTAGGCCCCATTCTCTGTGGGTAGAGGATGTAACACCTCTACCTGTGGCACCTCACAGTCCGGTGCCACGCATGACATTCAACAGAGCGCTCGTTTATAAGCTAATACTGTGTGTACACAGCCTGGAGGAGGCACTTTGAGAAGGTTGCAAATACAGCCCAGGCCACTTCCCATCCCTGCGGACAAACGACAATCCAGCTGACCCTCTTCTCACCTGCCCTCTCCGATTCGGGCCCACCTACTTACACGCCTCCTTTTAAATCGACCCTTCAGGGGGCTGTAGGAGGATTCCAAACCCTTTAGGAAAATACCCCGCCTTGGGGCAGATAAACATGACGTCAGTGCTGAACACTCCCGTCGCGCTTCTTTTCTCAAACCAGGGCCCCTGCATGCGCGGACAACCGGCGCCTTCCAGGCTGGGAAGCCGAGCATCTCCCCCGAGGGGCCCGTTAAGCCTGGGGCGGCCGCGCAGAGACCGTTTGAAGGCGTTGAGGGCCGAGGTTGCACACGCCGACTCCGGGCCCGCGTCCACCGCGGCCAGCGCTCCGGGCCAGCGGGCGCGCCAAGGTCAGAGCCTGACACTCGCCGGCAGCGGCGGCGGGGAAGGCGAACCCGGAGGCAGCGCCCCCAAGCAACACGCAGGCGGCGGTGAAGCGGACCCCCGAGCCCGCAGCCCCCGCCAGCCAGCCTCAATGTCACCGGGCTCCGAGGCCCACCGTCGCTCCCTGCATGCGCCGCGCCGCTAGCGTGCAGGCCCTGCCCATGGCGCCCGGCCCCCCGACCCGGCCGGGCCTCACAGCGTGGCACCGGCCGCCCCCAGCCTTACCTGCCGCCGCCGCCGCTGC